ACTGCGCACGGGCTTTCTCTAGTTGCGGCGAGCGGGGGCTACTCTTCCGTGCGGTGCACAGGCTTCTCATTGTGTTGGCTTCTCTTGTTGCGGAGCACAGGCCCTAGGCGCGCGGGCTTCAGTAGTTGCAGCACGCGGGCTCAGCAGTTGTGGTTCGAGGGCTCTAGAGCACAGGCTTAGTACTTGTGGTGCACGGGCTTAGTTGCTCCACGGCATGTGGGATCTTCCCGGACCAGGGATCGAACCCTTGTCCCCTGCATTGGCAGGTGGATTCTTAACCACTGCACCACCAGGGAAATCGCCCTGCTTCAGTTTTTCATCTTTAAAAAGAAGTTCCCTCTATCTGTCTCACCTACCTCACGTGGATTTTAGTGAGTATGACAGGCTATCTCAAATGTAAAGGTGCTTTAGAAAATTTAAACAGTATGTGGGTATAACCTATGATGACTATAATGTAAGTTCTGTTCGCCATATACCTGGGGCGCCCAACGTTCTCTGGCACCTGTCTCATCCCTAGATTCTCTCTGATTCTTTTTAAAATTTATAGTCTTTTTATTGTTTGTTTTTGCTTGTTTTGTTCATTTGTTTTACAAATCTTTGTTGAGTTACTGTTACGTGTTAGGCAACGTACAGGCTATTGTGCTAGCGACTGCTGGAAAACAAAACGACGGATGAAACATCATCATTTTCTTCAAGGTGTTTGCCATCAAATAGAGATCTCTATCAACATACAAATAATGTAATACAAGGTAAGGCATTTGGATGCCTTAAGAGTAATATAGATAAAATGCTACAGAAGATCACAGGAGAGGGGGAATTCCAAGATGATTTGGCTAGCACTGCTCTAGCCAAAGGGTGTTTTTCTGTTTCTTTCTACCCCCAACTCTGTTGGGATCCAGTAGAAGCTGGTTCTCTTCAAGATTATGAATTTTTGCATTGGTGCTGAGAAGTGGTCCAGCTGTCCAAGTTCTAATTTCTAGTCCCTTTGCATTGGCCTTGGGGAAAGAGGTGTGATTTTCTCTATTTTTCTCTTATATGAGAAAAGAAAGTGAAGCTCAGCAAGGTCAAGTACAAGTCAAAAATTGTTATGTAAGGCAGACCCTCCTCTCTGCAACTATCTAGAGTTTCAATGCACAAAGCAGGGCTTGTTTCAAGAAATGATTTATTACAAGTTTGCCTTTTCAGGTGCTTAATAATGGCCACCCAATAGGATGTTTGCTTTATGCTGGGATCAGGCTGACATCCCTTTTATGTGCAGAGATGCTGGAGTTAGTAGAATGCAGGCTAAAAGGAAATTGCAAACACTGGGCAAGTAAGTTGCAACAAGTTCTATAAGCTCCATTTGATGTGAAGGTTAAGTCTTAGAAGACATCCTGTAAAGCAGTTGTATGGGCTTGTATGTGTGAAAGGTAAAAATAATATGTTTTGAATGTTCAGTATGTTCCAGGTTTAAGCATTTTATATGGATTGTTTCATTTTTGGTTTCTCTTGTTATCCTACAAACTAGGAAACTGAGTCTTGGCGCGATCAAGGAATTTGTCCAAGGTTACACAGTTAGGAAGTGGTGAAATCAGGATTTGAAATAGGACTGAATAAAGAAATAATGTAAAATAAGGAAGTAAAAAGTTGTTTATAGATATATACACATGTACACATAAACACTTGTATGTGCACATTTACACATATATTTAAATTTATTCTTCCCAAATTATTTTGAAATTATTTTATTCAAAATGAAATTAAGAAAATGGACAGTGAAGGCCATGAAAAAGAGGAATATGCTAACCATGAGTTCAACCTGTGATTGACCATCAAATGTGAAAACAAGAAAGGAAAAACCCTTTCTTGGAGACCCTTTTGAATGCCATTTTACTCAGGAAACCAACAGTTATTTTTCTTTTCATAACCCTACATTATAAAAATTAAATAAACTCCCTGAAAGCTATGATTTTTCATATTTTTAATTTTGGGGCACTATTGGCATTTAAAATTTCTTGATATTTATTTTTAAATAAGATAATTAAAATTCTAAAAAGTATTTCCCTAAATGATAAATGGTAAAGTGCTACATTACATTTAGTTCTAAGCCTCTTCTCCTTACTTCCTGGCAAGGCTTTACCTATCACACAAGAGACTGGAATTGTATTCCATCACTTCTAGGAGCAGGCAATTTTCCTTTTCCAAAATTCTGGTATGCACAGTGCCTACCTAGCACATAGATCCTTCTCAATAAATGATCTGCAAAAGAGTACTGAATGATGGCTTATACTGCCACATAATGCCCAAAACACCACCAATATATAATTTGTGTTAAAAAAAAGTGCCGTTATCCGAATCTAAAGGCTCTGTGGACCCACCAGTTTTCCAGTAGCAGTAATGACTTGCAACTAATCATTTCTATGCACTTCTTCATGCTCCCTTGCATCAGTCCTGGTCAGTTAGTACCTTGTACTGTCAGAGGTATCGAAACTTGAATACAAAAACTCTGGGGCACGTGATAAGACTATATCATAGGAGCGTGGGGAGAAAATATTAAAACTCTTATTTAACTTCTATTTTATTATATTTTTGGCTGCACCGCGTGGCTTGCTGATCTTAGTTCCCCAATCAGGGATCGAACGTGGCCCGGTGAGCCCTAACCACTAGACCGCCGGGGAATTCCCTTAACTTTTATTTTTATTTCACGCTTTTTCATTTAGTTTCTGTGATTGCACGCTTTGTAATAATAAATAATATATCCATGTAGTGGTACATTTTAAAAACATATACAGAAATATACATATATTGAGGATACTCACCCAAACGTTTTACTGATAGCAATGGGTGATCTAAAAGTTTGAAAATGTAACTCTAAATAATCCTGCTAAGCTAAGTATACTTCAACCAAAAAAAAAAAAAATCTTTGAGACCATAAAGAAATAAAGAATGTTTTCCTATGGCTGGGGTTGGGGGTAGGGGTGGGGAATGGACAGGTCTTTCATATTTTTCATAACACGAATATACTAGCAAATAATTCACAGCACTTCACTCAGCAACTAAATATAGCAACTTGTGCTGATTTTTTTTTTTTCCTCTTCAAAAAAGAGAATAGTGAAATCCTGAGAAAGTTTTTCTGGCTTTTCCTCTATCTGCCTCTTGTCCCTGAAGTTTGTCATTTGGAAGGAAGGACTGTCAAGTTATTTAAAACCTATGTTGGGTATTAAAGAGTCCTGGGTTTAAGTTCCTTCTTCACTGGTATTCTGTGTAATCTTGAGCAGTCCCATTTCTCTGATGGATAAAATAGAGATAACAATACTTAGCACCAATCTCAAAGCAGTGTGTAATGTGGATAAAGAACACTTTGTTCCTTCCGTCAACTAAATGCAGAGCATCATTAATATAATCTTTAATATTATCAGTTTAAAATGCTGTGGTTTTATATACTTTTCCCTTTTAAAATTTATTTTCCTTTAAAAAATAAACAAAACATCACATTTCTAAATACCACTGTTTGTTGTCTAAACTTCATAAACTTAAATTTTCTCTGTATCTGTTTCTGGTTCCCAGTCTTTCACACACACGCACATACACACTCATTCGATAACTTTATGGATGTAAGAGAAAAATCTCAAGATAACATCAAGGAAATAAAGCGGGATTTGAAATAAGTTCTCTTATCCAGCTTCCCTTTAAGTTTTAAAGCTACGCATCTAGGCCATAAAATCATGATGTTTATTTAATCTTCAAAATGTTTGTGTTTAAGAATAATTCACAGACTCTTAAATCAGAAAGAACCATAAGAAAACATCTAGGGCCTATGGTAATGCCTGGTACACAGTAGATGCTGAATAAACATTTAGTGAAGTAAAACTGGGAGAAGCTTCTTATTTTAACCTTAAAAGAAAAAATGAAAACAAAACCCCAAACCAAATCTGGGCATTAAAGAGGCTGAAGTAGTTGCTCAAGATTGTTTAGCAAGTTTAAGAGTTGGGTCTAGAATTTATTCCTCTTAGTTTCCAGCTATGTTTTTTTCCCAGCAACCTGTTGACTTGTTTATATAGGACTGTCAAATATAATCTGTCAAAGACGCATCACAGAAAAAAAATTAGAAAGAAGAGCCCTTGGGTTCTCCATCTCCCAAAGTCAACCAACATGTGATGTTCACATATGATGTGAAATATGGAAAGTAAATATATATATAAAATGCAAAATATATATCTTGCATATATTGATTCAAAAGGCCTATTTTTAAGGAAAAGGGGCAATAGCCGATCTTCCATGACTTATTCTACTTTACAGCACTGTTTGTATGCCAACACAGGTGATCTGCAGTCCTCTGACCAGCTAAAAGTAGAGTGGCTATTTCAGCAAAATGTTTATCTTTGTTTCTGTGTATTGTTGTGTTGATTTTTCTCAATTTACCTACGAATGAAGCACTAACAACCTCAGTGCTTACAGTCCTAATAAACTTATCTTGCACTGTTTTGGCCTATGTGATAGTTAACCCATTGACAAAAGAAATCCAAGCTGATAAAAGCCTTTCCTGGCCACTTGTTAGCCAGGTCAGGCTGTAAAATCATAACACAATGCACGCCTCTTCCATGGGGCACCACAAGGCAACGATTAAAAAAAAAAAAAAGAAAAAAAAAACCCCTCACTTCCATATCCAGTGGAGTTGTAGTTTATTACTATAACCCTCCCAAGTCAAAAGGACACCAGTTTCAAGCCTTGCAACTTGGTGCAAACAGGGTTTTTCGCTCGCAACCCACTCTGCTGGGCCTCTCTACCTGTCCTCTCCTACTGTCTACAGGTCCCGAACATTAGAAAATAGAAAATGTGATGATCTTTGTGTGTCTCTGTAAAATGTGTGTATGTGTGCGTGTGTTTGGGTGTAACGGGCCTTCTGTTTGGCCGCGCGGCCTGTCCATCACGGAGCGGACCAATGGCAGGCTGCCTTATATAAAATGAGTGTTTTCAGTCTCTCCTGGCTGCATGTACTGTATGTGGAGCAGTGTACAGTGAAGCGGAGGCAGAGCGGCTCCGCGAGCTCCTCTCTCTCCACTTTCCCATAGAGAACCCCTGACTGGCCGCTGAGGGCGAGCCACACACACGCCCTCGCGCCCGGCGAGCCCGCGAGGTAAGCGCCCCCCCATCCCCAGCCCTTCCCGGGCGCTCTCCCCGCACTTTCTGTTTTCCTACTCACTTGAGAGCCGCCGGGCTGCAGCCCCAAGGACTCCGCGGCAGGAGCAGCGGCGGCGGCGGCGGCTGTGGCGGCAGCCGGTAGGCTGGACTTGAGGAAGACGGAGGGAACCCCGCGCGTCCGGAGCCGCCGCCAGCCGGCCCGCTCCCCGGGCACTTTACCCCTCCGCCAAAACTTTGGGTCGTGAGAGGTCGGGGGCGAGGGTCGCCGCGGCCGCGCCGGCGGCGAGCGGGGGGCGCGAAGGCAGTGCCCTGCGGGCGGGAGGCTGGGGGCCGGGCTGGGGAGTAGTAGGCCAGCCGGTGCCAGGCTGCGTTTGCAACCAGCACCTCTCGGCACACAGGCAGCGCCGCCCGAGAGGGGCACGGGAGCCGCGGCGCGGGCAGGAGCAGCCCGAGGAAAACAACAACAGAGCCCTCACGCCGGCGGGCGGCTCTTGGCCGCCTGGGGAGCCCCAAACTTCATCTCGGCGAAAGTACGTGGAGCCCAGCCTGGGCTCGGCTGCCGGGGAGGTGGGGCCTGGGGAGTCGGGGCAGGGGAGGAAGGTACAAGGAGCCAGCCCTCAGTGGATTTATCGAACGTTTCGTCTGCGTCGGTGACCGGGAACAGCAGCCCAGTTGCTCGTTCATCTGGAGAGTTGGGATTTGGGTGTTCCGGCCCCGGAGATTGGTGCCCTCTCACCCCCCCACCCCTAACCAAATGCGCGGCGAGTAGAGAAAGTGCTGTTTTAGTGCCAGAGTGGCTAGGAGGAAGAATAGGGGGAGAGGGGGAAGAGGGCGAGGGAGAAGGGGAGAGAGAAGAGGGAGGGAAAGCCGGCGGGGGCGGGGGGTGAGGGCAAGAGAGAGAGCGAGAGAAAACCGGAGAGGACGAGAGGGAGAGCGAACGAGAGAACGGGAGGGAAGAGAGGAGGGGGAAGAGGAGGAGGGAGGCTGTGTCAGGATTTTGCTTGAATGTGGGATTATGTTGTGTCAATAAGTTTAAGGTGGAGAGAGCGAAGCTGGCGGGGGGGGGGCGGTGGTGGAGGGGAGGAGGAAGGCCTTGGCTGTTTAAAGTCTTATTTCTGAAGGTAAGTGATGGCATTGCATGGTCGCGATGACAGAAAACTTGCAGATCCTTTATCCGGGGATGGGGTCGATGCCTCTAGAAAGAGCTCCCCAGCCCTCTTAAGCCACACTCGTGTTACCCTGTTATTTGCTGCGATCCGGGTCGCTAGTAAATTACAGAAATCAGACTCGAGGTTTCTTTTCCTCCTCCACCTCGTCTCGCTCGCTCACCCTCAGCAATTTATTATTATTATTTTTTTAATTTTTTGGTATTGTATGAAACTTAACGTAACTGAGACCAAACCCGAGTCCTGTAATTTACAAGGACCCTGAATCCAGGAATCTGGAACACGTTTATGTGTGAAATAATCCGCGATCATTTCAGCTAAATGAGGAAGGTAAAACGAAACGATGCAAAAAGCTAAGACACAACATGTACGACAGGGGTGGGGGGGAGAGGGAGAGACGGAGAGAGAAGCTATTTTTTGCTTTCCTTTCGGTAGAAAGGAAAATAAAGCGTGCATTCTCCTTCCCTCCTGGTGTGTAGGGTCCAGTCAATATTTTAACTGTTTGAGGACAAATTAGTCCAGGTGGATCTCGCCGAAAAGTTTCGCGAGGTGGGGTGGAGGTCGGGGGGTACGAAGGGGAAGGTGGGTGGAGGTGATGGGGGATGGGGACGGAGCGAGCTCTGCCTCTGCTGATGGTCATTGGCCTGGGGCTTTGAAACCATTGCCTGTCCTGCTAATGACACGTCCAGTTCTCCTCTCCCGGCCGCGGACGCCGGGCTGCCGGGGACCGGGGTACTTTCCCCGCGCGGGGAGGGGCGTTCTTCGCCATCTCCTGGGGTTGCCCACTCGCGACGTGGGGCCCCCACGCGCGCCTCTTCTGCGCGCCGCCGCCACCTCGGCTCGCGCGACTTTTGTAGCTAGCCCGCGGCGAGGGGGCGCAGGGGCTCCCCGGCGCGGACGTCTCCGCGCGGCCACCCCTCTCCCGGCCCCACGCGCGCCGCGCGGTCCAAGCCCGGAATGGCAGCGCCGGGCGGAGCGGCTGTGCCCCCCCGGGGGGCAGCGGAGGCAGCGGCGGTGGCGGCGGGATCTTCGCCGGGGCCCGCGGGAGGAGGAGGAGAGGGAGGAGAGGGAGGGAGGAGGAGGAGGAGGAGGAGGAGGAGGGGAAGGAGGAGGAAGAGGAGGAGAGGGAGGAGGTGTTTTCTGTCCAGACCGCCGCCAGTTCGAGCGGGCACGGGGACGGGGACACCCCACTCGTTGCTCCTCCGTTATGGAACGGTGTTTAGCAGACTTTTACGCCCGGAGTGTGGGCTTTGCACTTCATTTTTTTTTCTCCCCCCTCTTCCCCAAAGCAAGATGGACTCTATTCCCTTTCTCTTTCTCCCTCTGCCTCTGTCTTGTCAGCCTTAAAGATCGACATTTTGTACTAAGATGCAAACTTGATGGTGACCAGCAACAAAGCCGGGGTGGGATCTCTCGCTCCCTTCCTCCCTCTCCGTTTTCCAGCTCCCCCCACCCCGACCTCGAAGACCTGGTGGCCCTGCACTTGACGCCGGGGGCTCTGGTGAATGTGTTTCCCCGCTCGGTTCCGATCTCCAATCTCGGGATTGTGACCGGGGCCGGGCGTTGGGGCGACATTTGTGGCCGCCCAGGTCTGCAGGGCTGAGGGCTGCGCTACCTGGATCTGCTGGATTTGCTGCCGTCGCCCTGCTACCTCCTGCCGGCTCCTGGGCACGGGGAGGCTCGGACTGCCTATCGATTGCCATGATTTGGTTCCTGGTGCATTTGTCCTGGGGGCGGCGATCACTTGTGCAAGTTGATGAATGATCACGATGTGGGTTTTGGGTTTGCAGGATGGATCAGCTGCCTTGTACATACCGGGAGTAGGGGGCAAGTGTGCTGGAGACACCCTAGAATGCCAGCTGGGCTACCCTCCTCTCAGCCTCTGCCCTTTGAATACAGGGAGCTTCTTTGCCTTTATTGCCCCACAGTTCGAGCGTAGAGGTGGGGATGGTGAGAAGGAGGGGTTGGTGGGGAGCTGGACTCCTGGGTTTCGGGGTCCTTCCTTCACAGATGTTGCAGGAGTTGGGACTCAGTTGTAGAGCTCTACCACACTGATGATGTACCTTTATTTGATACTTTATAGGTCACTATCATATGACAAAGGCTTTGCTGCAGTTCATCTTCCTCCCTGTGTACTTTCCATTTGCCTTCCTGGGTAAGTATGCAAACTCTTCATACAGGGAAGCTGGATGGTATTAGTAATGACATAAGGGTTCTTACTGTACACATAAGAAGATGCCTTATTGGGTTTGCAGCATCCCAGAAACTTGTCTTGCTAAGTTTCCCATAGCAGAAGTCAGTTTATGATTTATAGTATTTACAATTCAGCTATGGTTATTATTATTTTAAGATAGTTGAAATGTGCATTTCGCATTTTCCTGCAAGTAAGTGTCATTTGAAAACTTATCTTTTTTAATTGATAATAAAATTTTACGTAGAGTTGAAGGCGTAGGAAATTTAATGCTAGATAATATTGTAGAAAGATTGTAGCTTGTGAGTAGAGAGAATTATTAAAAACCCAAGGAGTCATTGCTCAGAAGACCTCTCTAAATTACAGTGACTGACATTTGCTTACTCTTTCCTGGGCTCTCTTTCTTAGGGAACTTGTGCTGTTTGTGACAGTTACCTTTTTAGTGGGGGGAGCGTGGACTGGGCAATATAGTAAATCTAGCATTTAGTGTACCAGCTTGATTCAAAAGGCAAATAACTGTCCTAATTGATAGTAATTTTTGTCAAAATTTATATATTTGGAGAAATTGAGTGCATTTTAACAGTCTGTATATATAATAAATAGCAACTTTGAAATCTGACACTAAGTGCCTTTTTCAGATATATGCCTCCCAAATGGAAAAGTTGGTGAAATAACATGTGGGACAGTAAGTGCCTTAAAAGTGTGGTTGTGAGAAGTAACCCTCTGGGTGAAAACTGAGGGTTTAACATTTGAAAGCCGCATGGTGAGCCCAAACTTGCAGAAAACCAATGTGTAATTTTGCCCCTCCATTGTCAGAAACACCTCAGGTACTCTAAGTTGCTGATACGTTAAGAAAACTGGTTGTACGAAATCGTGTAAATCAGCTTTGGTGCTTTGTAATATTACCATAATGAAGACAGACTGTATTTTGTGAATGAAAATGGACTTGAATTCAGTTTTCCATAAAAGAAAAAGCAAAGGGACCTTATTTTGTTTCCTGGCTTGCTGGCATATTGTGTATGTTACTAAAAGATTGTCTTAGTATTGAGAGGAATTGAGTTTTGAAGACCAGGCCTTTCTGGTAGTTTCTGTATGGTAGCAAAATGTACTTTGACATTGTTGAGAACCTTAGATGATATATAATAGAAGTTCTGTGTCCAGCATTTTTTAATGGAATGTAAAATATCGTGTTATTTCAGATAGAAGAGCCTCCTAATATGTCACATGCATAACAGTCCAATTGGAGTGGTCAGAATGAGATGGGTCTGTAAGATGAATTTAATACACACCAAAATATGTGGATTTCAGCGTATTTTTTTTTTTAAAGCTTCTTTGCAAGAGAAGTTTTTCATTTTTGAACATATGGCAAGAGTATTCAAAATGCATTCCTGATTACTGAAGAACACCACATTTATACATGTGAGGCACGTTATTTTGTTCACTGGAGCAAACTTTTAATGCTAGTTCTTTTGCCGTCGAAATATATTTGACCAATTCAAAATTTAAAATGGGAATAGGTAATTTCCAGAATAAAAGCGAGCTGATGAGCTCTTGCATTTCTTTGAGATATCAAATAACTGCTTCATTAAAACAATGTTTTCAAGAAAAGTCTTGGTCTTTGAAATCAGAGTAGTTTTTATAGTATAAAATTTGAAGTAGTGATTTTAAAAGTCACGCCGACAATGAATTACAAGTTATTTGCATCTAAAATGTATTTATTGGATTTGAGGCTTAATTTTCAAAATAAGATTTTAGATAAAGGTTTTGCTTCTACATTGCCAAGAGTTTTCAAACTTCTCATTTTATTATTCTGCATATCTCTATTAAAGTTCTGAAGCTGAAGTCTTAATTTGCATTTCACATTTAAAGCTAGCTATTGAAAAGGGGGTTCATCTATGTTGTTTCTTAGTGGTACGTCTTTGGAGGTACTGTGGCGGTTTTAGGTAGAATCTTCCCCTAGGGACTAAGATACTAACACATTTTGAAATTTTGACACCTTTCTTTTTTTTATATCCACCTTGATCTTTATATCCAAATTTTTTTTAAAAAGTTCCGGGTTTAGGAGTTTGTGAGGTAGCTCTGCTTTTAATGTATATATAGCTCTGCTGTACAACTTGAAAAGTGTATACTGTCTTTGACCTTACAGACCTGATCTTTATACTTCATCCATTGGAACAGATTTGTTTAGACATTGAATTTATAACATAGCTTTGAGTGAAAGCTAGGATGAACATATAATTATAGTTTGCTTGTGCTGTAAGTAACTATGTAATTGATAATGTTTTTTGTATATAGTTAAAGAAGGAACAACAGCCTTAAAATGTGGCACAACTCATGAAAATCTAATTCAGCAGCTAAATTATTTATACAGCCATATTTTTCAGTAAAATTACAAACATAATTTTTAATTATTAATCATCAGCCAGTATACTTAATGTTTACGTTTTCCTACATTTCATAAAGAGCATGGGTAAAGCAAGGGCCATAGTTTTAATGGGATCTTACCATGAATATCAATTACTTTAATATTAGAAATCTTTAATAGAAGTAATAAAGACTTCACAGTTCCACCCTATTAAAAGAATTTTTTGAATATAGCCTCATTATAGATGTGCCTGTTTTTGCTGTACTAACAGAAATCCCTGAAATTATTAGTCTCTTGCAAGAGTGCAGAAATGTTTAAGATTGTGTTTTTAAATGTTCTGAATTACTAAATATAGGCAGTTGATTTTGGCATATTGCATCACCACTAGTGTGGCATACCTATATTTTAAAATTTAAACTTAAGCAAGTATTTATCTTAAGAAGAAGACACTTTTCTTGAACTCGTAGTTTAAAATCCACCTTGTTTTTCAACATTTCACCACCAAGGGCACCTTTTAAAATAGGTCTGAGTGGTATCTCTCCTGTATTTTTAGTCAGCTTCCTTCCTCTCACTATGAAATGAAAACAAACCCAAATTATAAAAACATTGTAATTTCACTGCCTCACTTTTAAAAAAATTAATTATTTTATTTATTTTTGGCTGTGGTGGGTCTTCACATGCGGGCTTTCTCTACTTGCGGCGAGTGGGGGCTGCTCTTTGTTGCGATGCGCGGGCTTCTCATTGCCATGTCTTCTCTTGTTGCAGAGCGAGGGCTGTAGGTGCGTGGGCTTCAGTAGTTGTGGCTCTCAAGCTCTAGAGCACAGGCTCAGTAGTTGTGGCGTGAGGGCTTAGTTGCTCTGCAGCATGTGGGATCTTCCCAGACCAGGGCTCGAACCCATGTCCCCTGCATTGGCAGGAGGATTCTTAACCACTGCACCACCACGGAAGTCCCACTGCTTCATTTTTATCATGTGCCCCAAGTAAATTGGATGCAGGAGGTCCTCAGCTACCCTTTGAGAAACACTGCTCCCAAGGTGGTAAGGACTAAGGCTAATGACTGAATGGACATTTTTCCAGCTTGAAGACTCTGTGACTGTAATTCCATCAGTGGGTTTGTACTACCTCAGGGGCAGTCATCACATACTGTGTCGAATTGTAGAGATTTCTGTATTTTAAGTCATACCTGAGGAAAGCACTTTTTGAGTTCAGCTTCTCTCAACATTCATATGTGTTCATATTATCCCTTAGAAGGCAGTTATAGTTTCTTAAAATGCCAGGACATCATTTTATAACTGTAAAGATATACCCAGAAAATCCTCATGTCTTAATGGGGATTGTTTTCTTTCCTTTTTTTTTTTCTTTCAAAGAAAAAGATAAAGTGAAAATTGAAATAAGTACCAGTTACACAACGGAAATTCAAAAGAAGACAAGCCAGTAAAGAATTCTATCTAATAGTATATATAAATAGAAAATGAAAGACTAAGGGAATGAAAGACTTAAAGGATTAAATATAGACCATGAAGCATTGGCACACCTTCAAAAATATAAACTTAATAAGTTAATATATGTGAGTCAGATCCAGGATCTAGATAGTAAAATAACTTCAGATAGTGAGGAGGTTGTGTAAAATACGAAGTAAAAATGATTAAGAATGAATTGGATTTTATGAAATCTTAGAAAAGTGAAAAATATTGTAAAATATTGATTAAATAATTAAACCAATAGTTAAATATAGCCCTTGGGTGAAAAGATCAGGGAATAAAACAGAAAATCCTGGATTGGAATAACTGAGATCCTGAAAAGGACATAGAAGTTTGGATATTTTGTAAAGGGAATAATTTTAAAAAAGGTTGATAACTTATTTCAAAGGACAAATAAGAATGAGGATAAAAGTTGTTTAAAGCAGCTGTATTTCTCAAATGTTTTTGAGATCTATGGTGAGAAATACCTTTTATATTCCAATCCACATAAAAAAACCTGGAACGAAAGTTTCCTGAAACAGTACTAAGAGCAGTGCTCTAATGTTTTCTGTTCCTATCTAATCTTTATAAATCTAATCTGTTCCAAACAATTTTATTAAAAAAAAATACAGGGTGTCATTCACTAAATTTGTTTTATGACTTACAATTTAAAAAACACCAGTTTTGCTTGCAAAATATGGAATTTCCCAGGCCCCATCCTCATATTCTGATTCAGTGTGTCTGGGATAGGGCCCAGGAATATGCATTTTAACGGTACTGCAGTGATTGTGAAGCAGGTGTGAAGTCCTCTGACATATTTTGAGGAACTCTGGTATTAGGGACTGATGGCTAAAGATTGAAAAAGATTGAATGGAGTCACATACTTGAATGTGGGCTTAGAGTTCATTTACTGCTGAGGTCCCTTCCAGAGCCTCAAGATTCTATGGCTGTATTTCAGTCAGCATGTTTACAATACTCAGAGGGCCCTCATCGCACTCTGTAGATGTCCCATAGTAGCAGGTATAGTACAGAGAGCAGAGGCTTTGCAGCCAAAGAGCCCTGGGTTTCACTTTTGCTGCCTCTCTAGCTTATAAGCTGAGGGACTTTGGGCATGTCACTTCAGAATGAACTTCCATTAT